TTTCTGGATTTGTATTAATCTGTATACTAGTATAATAAGGCGTTGTGTGACCCCCCCCCCCCCTTCTTACAAAAGAAAAATCGAACCAGATTACTGATAAAATGCTGATATATATTCGAATAGGCCTATTTTTTGGGGTGGGCGGGTTGTTTTAAATAAAAGCTAAATTTCATTTTCGGTAGTGGATGTTCTGCAGACGGATAGTCATTGTTTACAAAATGTGCAGAACAAATATAAGATTTTTTGTTTTACGAATTAATCTAGCCCTCTGCAGCAATATTTTCTTCTCCGCATCTCTAGGAATGTTTTGGAGACTGATGACATGCATCGTCTCAAGCAACGGTCCGGAGTCCGCATATGGGAGAGGATCGTATATTTTGGCCGTGGTTTGCGACGATGGATGACATGTCCATCTACAGTTTTACCTCTGAAACTGCTGCATATACAGCAGTATAGTTCATCTTGCGCGACCGATATCAAGAAACTGCGTTTTTGCTCGATTATATGTCATAACATAGTTTACTTAGAAGAACATTTTTGGTGACAATTAAAGGCCTATTTCATATGAATTAATGGTGTTTCTAGAAATTTATATTTGTAAAATAATTTATTCAATTTTTCGTATTAAAACTTTGAATGGAATTCCAAATGAGTAATTTAATCTCAGACCAATTGAAATAGCATCGACCTGAATTCGTGTTAAATATGTCGAATAAAATTTGAGCTGTATTTAATCAAAGTTTTAGTGCAGGATCTAAGTGAAAGTATATTCCTGAGTATAATTGACTTAAAATTTTGTTTTAGATCAGAGAATTGACAGCAGAAACACGAAATTGATATAATAATATCTGAGCGTATTTCTCGTCCATACGGAAAGCATTCTTTTCGTAAAGTGTTATGTTTTTAAATTATATTGAATTCACAATTAATAATTCTAATGATTTTTAATTTCCACAACTTTGGTTTATATTCATCTGTTCAACCCATTTACACGTTCGTTCTCTGAGCATGCAGTACGCACGAAACCCTCATCAAATTAGCATGAAAGTCGATTTGAAACATTCTTATGGTCAGGTGTAAGTTCAAGTGTGTAACACACTCAACTGACATGCGCGGATCTATAGGGGGGTCGGCGGGGTCAGGACCCCCCTGGAATTTACCAGGTTAAAAAATGTATATATACTAAAACAAGAAAAAAGTTACCATGCACCCCCCTTGGAAAACGCAGACCCCTCTGGTAATATATTTGAAATGGGTATGTAAGGTGAAAGATTTGAGGCAACAACAGAAGTCACCACTACATCCCCCCCCCCCCCCCCCCCCCCCCCCCCCCCCCCCCCCCCCCCCCCCGCGAAATAGGTTTTTGAAAGTTAATGGTTTGTTTTTTGTTTTTGTTTTTTTTTTTTTTTTGCTTGTCAAGAAATTTCGATTTTTTTTTTGACTGAAGTGGAACCCCCCCCCCCCTTGGAAAAAATTTATGGATCCGTGCCAGACTGACATCCAGCGAAATTCATCTTCCCGGTTTCACCACGATGCGTATTATTAACTTACATGTATTTTGTAAATTATCCTTTTTTAGACATAAATAAGACGAATCCCGTAGATGATAAGATTTTAAGAAAAAAAATACAATTTTCAGACGAGGAAACACATATGGACCTCTTATAAATACGGTACAACTGCATCTGATCATTATACGTCGGAATCTAAATGATTCCTTATTATAACTTCAAGAAACCCACAAACTTTTAAAGGAAATGATTGTACAATGAAGAAAATCAGTAACATGTACATGTACTTTTTATAAAGATATGACGTTTCTTTCGTTTTCAAGTACCTATAAGTATTAGTAAGAGTAGATTTGTGAATAATATGCACAGTTGAGCTTGATAAAATCATCAAATGCATCACTGCTCAACATTATTATCTTTCTATAACAATACTTTATATCGCGATTACTCAACTTAGCGGAACTCTTTCGCGATGGAGGTAGGAAACGTCTGTTGGATGGGGTCAAATGTGCTATTGAATACAATGCAAGATCGATTATTGTAGAGTTTATAAATAAGGATAGATAAGTAAAAAAATCCTTTTGGAATACCTTGCTAAAAGTCGCTGAACAAGCTTAATTAATTTTTTAGATCAGCTAATCCCAAAATGCGACATTTTTTAAGGATATTTTTAACTCAGCGGGCTTTTCTCATTAAATTTTTATTGATAATCGTCACATTTTAAAGCCATTCAATATTCTAAACTTTCCTTAGTTGACAATCTACTACACCTGTATTTGGAGTCCAATTCTTGGCAATACATTGCACCTTCGACATTAAATTGATCGATGTGTCCCCAAAATCTAGAGCTTTCTCGACTCTCCCGCAAAAGAGCGGCGGTAAGTTAAGACAACTGCGATATTACGTATTCGTAAATTTTAACAATAAATATCGTTCATTTATTTATGCACGCTGGTATAGAGAAACAACTTGTCCCACCTCCATGCTGAAATGGATACTTTTCGCGCTTCTATCGTAGGAGAAGTGCAATCTCGAAACTTGCGTATTGTATCCTTAACCTGCCACAAAACTTCTATGAAACTGCAACAGCGGGTAAGAATAGAGAGGGGGAAAAACCACATTGACCACATGTATGATATAATATTTAATTAAATCATAGTTTTATCACCAGTGTGCATTAATTCGTATGATTTATTGTAACATTCTTGATTTTCTACAACGCATCCTTTGATCGATTATCAGAGCAATCATGGTTACTTTGCGCAGAAAAATAAAGCTCATTTAAATCAAATATCAAATTGTCTCAAGAAAAACATGTATTTTTTTTTGTCTGAACGAAAGCTAATTTGTCCTAAAACTATTTAAAATTGTCCTATCAAAATGTCTTATTTCTTCAAAGACATAACTTCCATATAACTACATGTATTTCCGAAAAATATCCGAAAAAAAAGCGCTGGTGCATTTTATTTCTGGAAATCTGAATATAGCATTTCCGACAATTTTTCTTTTCATTTTCGACAATTTTTCTTTTCATTTCTGATATATATTTATTTCACTTTTCATTTCCGAAATTTTTGCAAGGTACCTCTTGAGCATCTTAATGTTAATCAAGTAGGAGGAAATCAAATTTTAAAATTAATTTATTTCTGTATTTCAAAACAATTTTCTCAAAATATTAACAGATTAAAAACAAATAAAAAATCTGTTGTAAATATAGATCTGTCATGAAGCACTAAGTCTAAATGAGCATGCATTTGTAAAAATAACATTCAGTGTTCATAAAATTGTCAACGACTGCACCGAACTTATGTCCAAGACATATGATATACTATAATTTATTCTTTAAAAATTTTCATCAGTGAATTATTCAATCCTACTTTCATTACCGAAAAGCAATACCTTAAAGATGTCGAAGATGAAAACTTTAAAATGTTTGGGGGGACTAAAAATTGTCGGAAATGAAAAGTTGAAAGTTTAAAAAAGTTCCGGAAATGAAATGCAACCAAAAAAAAAACATTTTATTTTTTTTGAACAGGTTATGTATATCTAATTAGTCTCAACTTCTTTTTTATAGGACTCTGGGGTTTATTCTGCAACGCCTTCGACCAAAATTAGTCAATATATCAATTCTGGCATATTTTGTTTGTTTGTATCATACAGACATACAGAACCAAGTCGAGGTAAAAAAAAAAAGTCATCGTAGAGGGGATACTTTATCGGTAGAAGAATATTTTAAAGAACGGGAACCTAAGTAGAAGATTAATTTAATTCAAACAATATTTTATTCACTGGTGTTATTGTGAATAGGATTGGGCAGCAGGCGCAGCCTATTTTAGCCCTCTCCCTGAAAAATAGAAGATTGAGTTTTACATTTTTCTACCACGTAGTTTACAATGAATACGAGTTATAAATTTTTTTTTAATATTTTGCAATAAATACTTTTAAATTCCATTTTCACTTACTTGGCAAACATTAAGTTGCTGGACAGGTAAATTCCGAAATTGAAAAAAAAAATATGTCGGAAATGAAAAGAAAAAATGTCGGAAATGAAAAAAAAATGTCTGAAATGCTATGCAGGTTTCAGGAAATGAAATGCAGCGATTTGGTTTGAGAAATATTCATAATTTTGATATAGAAAACATTTAAAGATAATACTAATCATAGAACTATAGGCGCAATGGTCATATGGACATAGACAAGATCACTGGTTTGATGTGTAAAATTGTTGTCTCATATCTTTATAATAAAATATGAAATTAACCAAGGTAAGAGTGCCCTGGAGATAAAAATTGATCATTTGATGTGGCATTTTGATCAAAACTCATTACGACAAGGTCAAATCACGCGGATCAGAGAAGCATCAGGAAGCACAAAACTTTTCTTTTATTGGAAGAGCAAGGCAACAAAAAACTATAGTCACGTAAATAAAATATTTTGATATTTGGACTTAGAATATATTTTTCGTATTTAATTTTAATACGACTAGACAACATTCGATCATTCTGTTTTTACATTTCACAAGACTAATGCCAGTGGCTTGGAGGGATAACTGTTTGACAAGATATTTAAAATTATGTTTTTTAAGGTAATTTTAATCTTAAATTTCTACTGATTTGTTAATAAGCAGCATTTCTCTTCCTTCTCCTATCAATCGGCAATCAAAGGATATTTTTTATTTTCAGTAGTATGCTTTTACGTTAGTAACTGCTGATTTGTTAAATTGCACTTTATTGTACATGAAATTTGTGGAGAGACAATACGCACCAAAAGTGATTTTCTGTACTTTTATCGCAGGGACGTAGCATCGTTTTTTTTTATAGTGGGGGGGGGGGGGGGTTAGCTAGAAATTTTTTAATATCAAAATTCAAAAGAAAATCCTATTCCTGCGAGGGTGTGTGTGTGTGTGAGGAACGGTGTCTGTGATGGGGGATTTACTACGCTGAGTCTCATATTCATGATATTACGAAAAACATACATGCAGGAATCGAGTTACAGCCTTAGATCACATATCAAAATAATTACCGGTAGTACTTCCTGGTGGTGTTAGGAATACACGTGTGCATTCTTACAGTGAACCACCAATAATAAACAGACATGAGAAATGAGCTGAATCATTATAACAGAAAATGGAACAAAAATCGAACTTTTATTCACCGTCCTTTGGGTTGCAGCAAAAGTGATACATATGAACGGTTTGTTTTGTGATACAGAGTATGCGGGATATTGAGGACGTATATTACAAACCTTGGACTTCTCAGTACATTTACAAAGGAGTCAATCAATCCATGATATTACGCAGCATTAGTTACTGAAAAGGAGTTTGGAACACCCTTGTGACGAATCTAAATATTTTTCTCAACATTGAAGCAACAATAGTCTTGGATAACTTGGTAAGTCTGAAGTTGTATTTCATTCCTAAAAAATAGATAATGGATTTATTAAAAAAAACAAATAAAATAACGATTGAAGAATAAAGATTTAAAATTGTTACAAATTAGTTCCAGCCTTAATACAAGAACAGGTACTTATTTTTACAATAGCTAGATCATGTAGATATACACTGAGTATATGATACGTATGTTTACACGTAAAAACACTTTTTTCAGGTGCTCTGCATGACTTATTTTAAGCTGTATACAATCTGGGTGCAACATGTATCTTAACCCCTTATTTTTCCTGCAAAGTTTTAGGAAAAGAAAACTGGCCTGAGTTTGTTTTTTGTCTGGAAATTTGGATCTTTTCCTTAGGAAAAAATTCCACTACCGTCTAGAAGTTTTGGTAGAAAAGCTTTCCGTTTTGGATTTCTTGCAATCAGGTAAGACTTTTTGGTTTCTATAGTTAACCGAAACTAGGACAGACAGAATAATAAATATTAGGACGTAGCACCTAAATATACATTAAATGCACACCTACTTGCAGTTGGTACAGGTTTTAAAAAAGGACGGTGTAAATAGAAGTCTGTCTTAAATCTTTCTCCGTAAACACAGTTTCTTTACATGTCTACCATTTTCAACATTCAGATACATTGTAAGTTGAAAGCCCTTTCATGTTAATGTCTTGTTCATATAAAGATCTAATATCTACATGTATTTGTGACGGATGTTACAAGACATTACATGTATTATACACATTTTCGTTTACTAGAAGACTACAATTTGCATTTTAAGTATTGTCAAGTTTCAATTAAATTAATCAAACTTGTGCATCTTTGGTTCATGCAATTATCGATACTCCTCAGACCAATTTAAGGTTCAAGTCATACTTCCACACTTGATTTCAATTATTTTTTTGTGTTAAAATAAATATGAATACCAAATTTTTAAAACTGCAACACAATTAAAACAAGCACATTAAAAAAAAAAACGAGGAAGCCTTTTACAAAAGCTACGTATACGTTACAGTTTATCAAAGAGTGACATAATTTCAATGCTAAAATTTGAAGTTAGCTATAAACTTTATGTTCAAGGAAAAATTTGTTTTTCATTCCCGTTCAATCTGTGAGAATATTAACACTAAATTAGCCAACCCAGATGATTTCCAAAATAGTTTCAAAGCTAAGAAAGGCCTTTGTATGATCAATTGCAGACTATTTGTCATGGTTAAATTGCCATTATTGATTAGCGAACAGCTGCCCTCGATCGTTCTATGACCAGCACGCATAAAATATACTCTGCATCCTTGAGTATTACAAGATACTCGCAGTGGGTGGTGGCGGAGAAAAGTTTGATTTGTTGTTAATGTCTATTTAATATGCCATGTTGTTTTATAACAAGACTTTAATTACCCGTTACTAACTATACGTTTTCAAAATATTACTAAAACACTTCTGAACTGAGAGAGAGATCTTTTGGCAAAAATTAAAAATAAATATACCCTAAAACTTTTTCTCTAAAAATAATTTATTATTTTTAGTAGGATAGGGTTATATATTACTACATGTAGCAATGTGTGCCTTCATTTTATCTATATAAATATTTTATCTGCTTAAAATAAACGATTCAAAGCTCCACTATACAAGCTTTTAGCGAGACAAAAAATAGATAATATTTAAAAAAAAAATACAAAATGAATAAATAAATAAAAACAGGAACATTTTTTTTCATCTACAACAATAAGCAGATAAGTTTACTTAACCCTTTACTGATGTAATTTTTTTTAATACCATTAACTTCTGTTTCCTTAAACTTTCAGGAAAAAAACTAAAGCATCTAATAAGTGGAGTAAAATTTATTACTTACGATGAATTTTTTGTTTTAAATGTCAGTGGGAATGAGAGTTATGGCTCAGAGGGGTTTTCACTTAAAGGGAAAAAATACATTCTTTGCACCGAGAAATGGCGTTTTTACCCACATTGGAAATTTAACCCGCTGGTCCATAATGGTATATGTTTTGCAGGGTCAATTTACAATTCTGGATCCCCTCATCTTTTAAGGCTGAAACATTAATTACTGTGTCTATCTACATATTCGATAAAAGATATTGATAAGACTTTATATTTCTTCTAGGATAATATATTTCTAAACATATTTTGGTTTAAGGACAGATGATACAAACAAAAAATGGATGTCTGGATTGGTATATATTTTTTGGTCTAATTTCATTGCAAATGATGCAAATAATAAATTTCTAGAAAATAAAGAAATTTTAAACCTTCTTTAATGTTCAAAAGTATGCCCTTCTGAAACCATCCTTATTAATCTAATCAATTATTTTCACTTTTAATTCCATTTTTGTGCAAATTTGAATAAAAAGTTAAAAACTACGCGGTGAAAGTTATTCAATTTACACATTTAAACATGACCCAACTTGCTATTTTCAAAATCTTTGACAAAAGTTTGTATCATCTGTCCTTAAAGTAGGACTCCAAGCAATTTGCCCATTTTTTGAACTTTTCTTTTTAATCAGTTCGGTCGATTTTACTTGAGAAAATTACCTTCTTAAAATATCTTTTATTCAACACAAATAATCGCTTAATATGTTGATGATGTTAGGGATAAACAAGGCTTTATTTACATTGTAAGTAGAATTAAACTTAATGTACATGAATCTCTATATCATGTGTCCATCAAAGAAAATGCTTACCGGTTTATTATCTTTGTAGATTATCTGCTGAAAAAAAACAATTAATCTTTAAAAAATATATTTTCATACAACGTTATGTTTGTGAAATTTATTCATCGTGTAAGTACATGTAAACTGTTTCATTAAAATCAGGTTTTGAACGTAGCTATGTTAATAATTTGATATGCGTTTTAAAATAAAGAATTAATTTGACTTTGCACATGCCGTAGTTATTAAAGGAGCATCCTTAAAACCCTTTTTAATCATGACCGATATATAAATGATATGCAGATTTATCATTTCTGAAAAAAAGCAAGCACGGAAGAGATTGACCTAGTATGTTTTTGAATTAATAGGCGTGCTCAGAACATTACGTATTATATACATGTATGTAAAACTTATTCATGCTGAATTTTACATATAATATAACTCATTTTAGGGACATAAGAGTGCATCAGTGATTTCTCTCTATTGGATACGCACAAAGCTTCTAGATGCAGCGTTTTCTGTGATTGGAAAAAATATATGACAAGAAAGATGCTCCACTACATACCAAAGTTTTGAATGCTGAAGTAACTGTGCAAGGATACCATAGGATCTGTCCCTACGTGTTTAGTCTAATATACCACTATTCAATTCATCCACACGTTCAAAATGAAGGCGAGGGCAATACCTGTGCACTCGAAACCATCTCATCAAACCTTATTCACATCAATTTCAACGTAGCTATTTATGTAAAAACTATATGTATATAGAACTGTATTTAGCCTTCCGGTGCCTTCGGATATTGGTCTTGTCTCACAAGAGCTGCGTATATCTTTTTAGAGCAAAATACATGGAGTATTTTATTTTTCTCACAAAAAACTGTAAGGAACCTACTAAAGGAATGTACATAGCCTTAGCCTCCAAGAAGAAAAGTTTTACTCTGGAGCTAGTATTCTTTTCTTAGTAGAACTGAATAAACCCTCTAGAGAAATATTACTCCACAGTTTTTCAAATGATAATTGTACTAAGCCGTCTAGAGGAATATAACAGCATAGTTCACATTTTGTATTACAAGAACTCTACGTAGAATTCAAAGGAATATTACTCATTTGTTCATATTTCGTCTAATTAGGAATGTACAAAGTCTCCTAGTGGTGTCGTATTAGAAATGTATGTAAATTTCGAGAGGAACACACCTTCGTAGTTCTGATTTTGTCTATATAAGAAATGAACATAGCCTCCTAGAGGAATATAACTCCGTAGTTCAGATTTTGCCCTATCAGAAATGTACAAAGCATCATGGAGGAATATTCCCCCGTAGTTCAGATTTTGCCCTATTGGCTATTAGAAATGCACATAGACCTCTAGAGGAATATTCCTCCGTAGTTCATAATTTGTCTTAAAAGAGATTAATATAGCCTCCTAGAGGAATATTACTCTGTAATTCAGATATTGTCTTTTTAGAGAATGAAGTACATATAGTCTCATAAAGGAATAATACTCCTTAGTTCAGATTTTCTTATTTAGAACTGTACAAACTCCTAAGATAGTTCAATTTTTCCTTCATAGAACTGTGCATACATAACCCTCTGGAGGAATATTACTATGTAGAAAAGACTTTGTTTACCTCCACTTATGCTGAGTTTTCACCTAGTATTCTAGATGTCTTTTTACAACTACACAAATTCTATCAGATATATTATTTACTCTGTAGTTAATTTTCGTTTTGTAGAGGATGTAAATAAGATTTTGTTTCATTTGTGTCATAATAACCTTTTTGAGGAACCCCGTATATATTTTGAATTATTAGAATTGCAATCTTTAAGAGAAATATTACTTTTTGGATGAAATTTTGTCTTTTTAGAACTCCTCAAAGTCTTTCAATTGAATATTATTACGTAGTTTATTTTTTTGTTTAGTCAGAATTGCAATCCTCCAGAAAAATATTACTAGTATTTCAAAGATATGTTTTTACCTCTAAGAGTTGTAAATATCTAGAGGATTATTACTCCGTCGATAAACTTTCGTCGTAGTACATGTATAGCATTACATAGAGGAATATTACTCTGTGGCTCAGATTAAGACTTAATAGAACTGTGTAATATAAGCCTTCTGGGGGAATATTACTCCATAGATAAGTGTTTGTCGTAGCAGATCTGTAAATAGAAAACTTTTACTCCGTAGTTCATATTTTGTCTTAATAGACTTTACTTTAGTTAGATTTTGGCTCAATAGAGCTGTGCATACTTAGATATAGCCTTCTGGGGGAATATTACTCCGTAATTAAGTTTTCGTCGACATAGAGAAACATTACTCCGTAATACAGATATTGCTTCAATAGAACTTTGCATACTTAGCGTTCTGGAGGAATATTACTCTGTAGATAAGTTTCGTCGTAGTAGAGCTGCACTTAGAGGAATATTACTACATAGTTCAGATTTTCTCTTATAATCATCGTACAAAATCTTGTAGAGGAATATTACCCTGTATACGAGATTTTGTCTTACTTAAGCCTTACAACATTTTTGTTTTAGTTTAGAGTTGTAAATAACCTTAGAGGAATATTACTCTGTAGTGAATTTTCAGACTTCAGAAGCTTTGCATTGGTCTTACGGAGGAATATTACTCCGGAGGTAATGGGTGAAGTTTTTGTCACACTCGAATTGTACATGTGCGTATATTAGAGGAATGTTACTCCATACTTCAGTGTTTTGTTGAAAGACTGTTCTAAATATGAATAAATTTTTTAAGAAGATATCTCTGATTTGTTTCTTCTTATTCGTATTACAGAGGTTGTATTAAATCATATCAAACTCTGAATTGAAACCCGGAAAAGGTACGGTGAAGCACAGTACCTTTTTATTTTGCTGTCCCTTATGTATAATCGTTTGAAAACAACTCGTTAAATAGAATTGGAATCCTCTTGACGCGACATATAATAATCTCCTCCCAAATTCATTTAAGAGTACATATTTTAAAATTCAAAGTGCCAAGACGAGACCAGTTCTGGGTCCTTACCTAAATTAACCTAACCTATAAAATCTATTTTGAATTCTGGATATTGAAAAAAAAATAATCACAAAAACACATTTTAAGAATTGACTTGTGTTAGGAGATAAAAATGATCACAAATTTTCATTTTTTAATTTCTTGTCCCTTAGACAGAAATATAAAGAATTCCATTACTTTTTCTTATATTTTGTAGATTCTGTTGAATATTTATCAAGTTGATACATGCATATGATTTTATGACATTCAATTTCAAAATGTTGTTTCTTTAAGATTAATATCCGACAACAAGTTAACAACAATAGCGAACAACACATTTGATACTGTGACAAGTTTAAAAGAACTGTAAGTATCTTTGAATAGATCAACATTTGAACTTTTCAATTATAAATGCTATTTAAACTATCTTAATTGATAAACATTATTATTGCAAATGCATATATATTAAAGATTATTAATTATGGCTCCATAAAAAATATAAAAAAAATTACGATTGCTTTATATGAATTTAAATATTAGATACATGTGTAAGTGTAAGCTAAAGGTACAAAATACATATATTCAAACCGCATGTTTATACCACTGTATTGGCTTGCAATCTGAGCTTTGATTTGTCATGCCACAAAACGTGCATTAAAATATGAATTTAATAGATTTATTCCTTATGAATTAAAACAAACGTGTTTTGTGTGATGTGCCTATAAAATTTTCTTTAATCTTTTTTTGTCTTAAAGTTAAGTTTAAAGTGATTTAATCCATTGCGCGGATAATATTATGAAACTATTTACATGTTGCAACGCCCATCCCCTTCCTTCCAGATTGATCAAGTTTTGGGAGAAATATATACAGTGTATTTACTTTGTGCGTGTGGTCATGGATATACGAGGGTCATTCAAAACATTCGCAGCATTTTGTCCTAACCTTTTTATTTGACGTCATATTTTATCCATTATTTGGTGCACTTATTTTAACAATAAATTCGAATAATTTAAGTAATGAAATTGGAATATAACTCCATATTTAAACAACACTATCAAATGTATAGTAAAACAAAAATACGGTCACGGAACAATGTCAAAATTGAGTAATTTCCTAGTTTTCTCTTCATAGTACATGTACCTTTAGCCATATCTCAAATAAATGTAGCTGAAACGAAATAAAATTAACATGTTGAAATTAAAATTTGTTGTATTACTATAATTGCTATCAAGTAATGTAATATATCGCTCTGTTTAAAAGACATCAGTTTCTAAATACATATGGACTTGATTAAAAAGGGCAAAAAATCATGACTTAGAGGACGTCAAGGAGCAGCGAGTAGCAATAAAAGTTTGCTTTGCATTCGGAACTTCTTTAACAAACTTAAAAAAAATCTGTATAAACCAGGAAATATATATAAAAGAAAAATAAACTGGGCCTTTGTGTAAAATGAAAAATACAATTTTTGAGTGGTAGCGAGTTTGAATCTGACAATAGATGGTCTGCAAATAAACAGGTAAAAGTTAAAAATCTTGTCAAATGCGTGAGGAACGTCATTTAATGCGCTCCGCTGTTGCACAACTAATAGAGTAATGCGTTTCAGAATTTGAAAACACTGACAATCTAGTTCAAGTTATTTTCACAATTATTAGCAAACTAGTTGTTGAGTGTTATAAATACAATTTTATGAAGAGAGAAGACACTATAAACCGTGTATGAAATAAAAAAAAGTATAGTAATTTAGAGAAGCTGTATCGACGTTGTTTTTTGACGTTACAATATTAGTTAGCCGTGCTCCGTGGTAACAGAATATGTTGCTTTAAATATTGGTTAACATAACTTTCATTTAATCAAATGGAATGAAACTTCACACTTCTACAAAATAAATGTTTTTATTTACGAACATGTGTTGTTCTATTATCTTGTAATAACAATATGACGATGAGGAACATTGTCTATGTATTTTTGAATGACCCTCGTACATTTGCACTGTATGTGATCATTTTACCATAAATTAATTCTGTGAGATTTGGTATGAGACTGGCAAACATAAATCTCAGGATGTTTTTAGAATTTTTTTTTCAGCTGAGTCGTCGGAAAAACGTTGCTGGAACGTATGTTTGAGAAAAATCTCAGACTTAAAAATAAATATCAGGCTTCGGGTCCACCAACAAATAAAAACCTCAGCTCAAATCTGAGAGTATGTAATCTTCAATTTCTGCTTCCGCTGATATCTTCCTAAAAGGCCGTGCCACCAACATTTCTGAGATTCGTCTCATGTTGGCTGAGATTTGAGAAAATTCTTAGACTATGATATGCGACTCTTTTTATATATTATGCACGATGCATCAATGAATTAAAAGTTTACACAATATTTAAGTTTAAATCGCGAAAAAAAACATATCCCCACTTTCTTCTTTTTATTTGCTGATTCGAGTCATTTCAGGAGAGGATTCCTTTACGACATGAAGGTTTAAGATTTAAAGCACTACGAAAGATTGACTGTGGCATCAAACATATTTTGGCTCGATTCTAGCCTACATTTTTCACCCATTTAATTCAATGTGATAGATAATAATGATATTGCCTATCATATTGAACTAAATGAGTAAAAATTTAGACTGGAATCAAGAATTATCGCTCGTGGTTCTTTTTAGTACAAGAGAGTATTGAAATAAATGAAAACTTGTTTGAATGCAGAGAAGAGTTGTTTTTCCAAATAAGTTCTGTTTTATGAAAGTTCACAGAAATATCTTTGAAGTAAAACTCCCTCCCATTCAGGTAAGACTTCAGCGAAGCTTTTTTTTTTTGCAAATCAACAACAGAAAAGTATTTATGATTCCATAAATGACGATAAAATCCAGCTTTAAAAAGTAACTGGGAGGTAAAAAAAAAAACCCAATATATTCTGAAATATAAACTATAGATAAAGCTGAACAAAATGAGTACATATTACATACAAAAATTTACAAAAAAGATGACTTGGCCGACGTAGGCAGCAAAAGAATACTATCGTTTGCATTTTTTATTGATTTTTAGGAACGTTGTTTGGTAGGAATCTCTTACAAACAGAAGAATAAATGAAATGAGACACTTATACTATCCTATAAGCAATATATGTTTGTTGAACAATGAAAATCATCATCACGGATTTTATTTTAAGATTTTGAATCCATAACACTTCAATATTTCTTCCAGATGGATTTATGATAATCCGTTACACTGTGATTGCAAGTTACAATACCTGATCGATTTTATCAACTCTAGAAGCCCCACATTATACACTGATCCACTTTGTGTCACTCCGGATACCCTTAAGGGAACCCGTCTGAGCAAACCACTGGACAAACCACTGGACAAACCACTGAGCAAACTACTCAGCAAACCACTCAGGAAACCACTGAGCAAACCACTAGACAAACCACTAGACAAACCACTGGGCAAACCACTGAGTAAACCACTGAGCAAACCACTGGACAAACCACTGTGCAAACTTCTCAGCAAACAGCTAAGCAAATCACTGAGAAAACCGCTGGTACCAAATTAGAGAGCACAACAACACCAATGCCGTCACTTGACAGGATAACCACCAATATTAATACGCTAAATTCTTCACCTTCAAAAGGAGGAAACCTATTACTGTGGGCAAATATTATTTGTGTGTGTTTGTTAAAAACCATGATTGGATTATAGGTATGCAATGCCTTAAGTAAAAATTCCGAAGACTTGATATGATCTTAATCTTGACTACACTAAATGATGGTCTTTGGGTGAAAAAAGGGTATAATCTGTATGATTTCAGACAATGTTATACTGTCTAGCAAATATATACATCTCCTGTATACACTGTGAGAGGAAGGTGCCATCGGGTTAGTTGTTACATGTAGCACAAGCTAGGTTGCCCATTTAGAATTTAAATATTTTGTCAACTATTTTCTTTTAGTTATAAGAACTTTCATGTTTGATTATTTTCTTTAAACATTTACAACTTACCTTTGTTATAGAAATTTATTGTTGCTAATACCGTCTTTATAAATAAATTTGATTATAATTTTTTATAATTATCAAATATACAGTATTTACACAGTACAAATCTAACTTTAAAGTGCATGTCATATTTCAAAAAGCAGGTTTCCTTTCCTCAAAAAGAAGTAATTGAACCACATGAAAAGAATTTTAAAAATGCCAACAACTTTAGTGTTTCTTGTGATCTCGATA